ACTCTTTAGCTCAAGGCAAGTGTTCTACCACTTATGCCACAGCACTACTTCCAGTTTTCTGGTGGCTTATTGGAGATAGGAGTCTCATGGGCTTTCCTGCCCTGGCTAGCTTTGAACTGTGATTCTCAGATCTAGCCTCCTGAGTAGCTAGGATTACAGACATGAATCACCAGCACCTGGCACCAGCCTTGATCTTTTTTGGGGGGGGGTCTGGTTGTGGGGCCTGAACTCTGGGCCTGGGCGCTGTCTCTCAGCTCTTCAGCTCAAGGCTAGCGCTCTACCCCTTGAGCCACAGCGCCACTTCCGGCTTTTTTTCTTTTTGCTTATGTGGTGCTAAGGAATCGAACCCAGGGCCTCATGTATGCAAGGCAAGCACTGTACCAGAGTCACCTTCCCAGCCCCTACCAGCCTTGATCTTATAGCTAAAGGACAGTTCCCAAGGTCCTGCATTCAACCCTCAGGACTGGCACAATAAAAGAGGGATGTGTCAGCAAGTAGAGGAGGAAGCAGCATGAGGAGGAGTAGCATGAAAGAGCAGGGCAGAACTGGGAGGATGGTGGAATGAATAATGGTGATTATGGAATGTTGGGGCATCTCAGCAGTAGGAGGAGAGCACAAGTTAGGCAAGGACATGGGGCAATTATTTTATTCAGAAGATTGTCCCAGGGGCTGGGAAGGTGGCTCAGTGGTAGAGCGCTTGCCTTGCATGCGTGAGGCCCTGGGTTCGATTCCTTAGCACCACATAAGCAAAAAGAAAAAAGCCGGAAGTGGCCCTGTGGCTCAAGGGGTAGAGCGCTAGCCTTTAGCTGAAGAGCTGAGGGACAGCGCCCAGGCCCAGAGTTCAGGCCCCCCCCCCCCAAAAAAAGAAGATTGTCCCAGGAAGCAGGAGTAAGGGAGAGGAAAAAGGAGGAAGACAATGTCAACAAAGGGAAAACAAATAGAAAGTTTGGTATTGATTGGTTTCTACTTACCGGTGTTGAGTATCTGAGGCCTCTTCCTACTAGAGACTCCTGAACCAGCCCATACACTATGGCTCAGAAAGACTCTCCAAAGATGGGCACTTATTAAACAATGCTATTCCCACTGACTGTGTGATTCCCCTGTGGATCTCAGTTCCCCTTTCGAAGTTACCACCTGGGTTTCTGGAGTCTCATGACATGGGAAAAACAAAAAACCAAAACCAGAGTTATTGGGCAGTGGGTACTTGAGGTGAGATCCCAGAAGCCCTTGGGGACTATTTACCTCAGTTGCAGAACCACCACCAATGGGTGGTGGCAAGGGATGTGGAAGGCTCCTGCCTCACTCAGCATCAGGAGCTGAAGAGGTGCAGTAAAGCACAACACATTCAGGAAATGAGGTTGGAAACATAGGCGAGACTCAAGGCACTGCAACACCTCTAAAAAGTTTAAACCTAATTTGCTTGTCTGGTCCTGACACCTGGAAGGTATTCAATAAATCTTTAGTTAGTGAATGAATGCTGAGGGGATGTACCTGGGCCACAATCTTTTAAACAATTTTATTTATTTTTTGTGTTTATGTGGTACCAAGGAATTGAACCCCGGGCCTCATGCATACTAGGCAAGCATTCTACCATTAAGCCACATTCTTTTCCCCTGGGCCACGTTCTTGCTAAGCTATTGGGCTTTAGGATTCAGCAGCTAGCTGTGTGACTTCTAGCTTCTTTAACCTTTCCTGTTGTCTTTTCTTGAGGTGGTGACAATAATGCCTTCTTTATGGAGCTGTTGTGAGGAATTAGATGAGATAAAAGATATATGGCAACTAGACATGTAGACTCAATAAATGTCAGTCACCCTACGCTTGTCCCTATGATAACCCGAAGCCACATAATAAAGCTGAACTACCCACCAGCTAGAGACAATGAAAGCTGTTCCTGGGGTCTGGTTACAGAAGATGAATGCTAGCATTTCCAGCTATATTGGTCCTGGTGGAAAAAATTAGTGGTTTTGGTAACAACTTCTTTGGGCCCAAAGGGAATCATACTGCTGCTTTAATTAAAGGACAGAGTTGAAACTATCCTCTCAAGGAATGTACACATTCAGAAATTGATGTTTATGGTAACTTGTAATTTTCTGTTTCTTTGTGAATTTAAAATATACAAACAGAAGGATGTTCTGATCGATGTGTATTGACTAGGGTCATCTATCACTTCAAGTCTGCATTTTCTCACCCTTTCTGAAATCCTAAGAGAGACCACAAGACCTGTTGTCTTTTTAATGAAACAGCTCTGCACTGACTGATTGTAGGTACTGGGAGTTTCTAGGTCCTTCCAAGTGGACAAAGGAGATTGGGTGGCATCTGAGGCTTTGAGGTATAAGTTGAAGGTAGGAAGGAAAGCAGGTTGAGAAAGTAGATAAAAGATTGAGAAGTCACTGTAACTGGGAAATTTAAAAAAATAGTGTATTTAAAAATGTATCCAAGCTGGACACTGGTGGTGGCTCATGCCTGTCATCCTAGCTACTTAGGAAGCTGAGATCTAAGGATCAAGGTTCGAAGCCAGCCTGGGTAGGGAAGTTTGTGAGACTGTTATCTCATTAACCACCAAAACACTAGAAGTGGAGCTGTGGCTCAAGTGGTAAAGCACTAGTTTTGAGGGTTTTGTTTTGTTTTTTTAAAGCTCAAGGACAGCACCCAGACCCTGAATTCAAGCTCCAGTACCAACACACACAATGAGTGTCCAATTCCCTATAGCAATCTGCCATGAAGATAAACACGTGATTCATGCCAGTGGCATACCAAGTTAGAAACAAGAAAAAGGAAACAAAGAAGGAGAAGTGTTCATAGCAAATCAGGTAAATATAGACTTTGGCAAGAAAGGAAATACCAGAGTTGAGAAGCCTCTCAGGAAAGCACATTTGACCCAGTCCAGAATGATCCACCATAGGGAAGCTAAGCAGGAACAACAAGGTGTGGGATTTGTCTATTTGTCTATTTACTCATTTTTCTCCTTTACCATTGTCACTCAATTCTATTTGACATTAGAAGAAACAGAGGGAATACAAAAAGTGGGAGACAAAAAGTGGCTCATGACCAGTTCTTAGAGGGAAACAAAAGATGTTACTAATGGTTATAATAAAACAGAAGGATTGCAAACAAAGATACAAGCATACACAGGATCTAATGGCCATACAAACGGGGGTGAGGGGTCTTTGGCAGGCAGGAGTTCCAAGAAAGAGGGTAAAGCACAAATGAAGAAAGCCAGGTCTTTAAGGGGACAGCATGTGATTTGGGCTAAAGTGTAGGTGGAAGGCGAAAAAGTGGGCAGCAGTAGCGCAAAGCAGTCTCTACCCTCTGGGTGAGCTGGGAGCTAAGAGGTTAAGAAACACTAAGCATCCCTGTAATCCTAGCTATTCAGGAAGCTGAGATCTGAGGATCTGGTTCCCAGACAGCCAGGGCAAGAAAGTTCATGAAACTCTTATCTCCAATTAACTACCCCAAAGCCAGAAGTGGAGGTGTAGCTTAAATGGTAGAGCCACGAGCTTTGGGCAAAAAAACCTAAGAAACAGCCCCCAGGCCCTGAGTACAAACCCCAGGACTGGTGGGGTTTGTGTGTGCACGTGCGTGTGCACACACACACACACACATACACACATACACGAAGCTGGATAGACTGTGACAATTGTGCAGGTGAGAGGTGCACGGCAGGTGGCTGGACAGTATAGCTCCAGTGTGCAGAAGCCATACAGCTGGGAAGGAAGCATTTCCTGCTGCCTTTTAAGGGTATCAATGTCCTTGTCCTTGACAAGAGAAAATGGAGAATTACTGATAAGGTCCCCGTGTCTTGCAAGTACATCCAGACATGGAGACATCCTATCAGTGCCTCTCTTGGCAGGCAGCAGACCTCAACCAGCGACTGGAAAAGAAAGAAAGGGAAGAGCAGCACTGCCAGGAATGAGGGGCAGTGCTAAGCGGAGTCCCCACACAGCCCCTGGGCCCCTCCCCAGCAACTCCTCCTAGGGGAGTTGTCCGAGGCTCTAAAGAGAAGGTGTATTGGAGGGTCCCCTACTAGGTTTAGATCCCTGAAGCCATGGATTAATGATCAACCCGGGAGTGCCCTCAGCTTTCAAGTCACAGAACTCTCCAGCAAAGCCACTTGTAGCTGTCACTCCTGCTCATTTCTCCCCGGAAAAGCCCCAGCGAATAGTAACGAGAATATTTAAAGGGACTCGAAAACCAGTTTTCTATCCCAAGTGTTCGATGACACTGCTGTGTGATCTTGGATAAGTTAGTCCAAGGCGCTGGATAAATTCCCGCGCTGGGGCCACCCGGTGGCTCCGCAGATGGCCGATGGATCCGTCTCTAACACCTGTCCTGGCCACTACGCCACATCCCTTGGCCGGCACCTTTTCCGCGTCGGTCCTGGGCGCCGCCCATGACCCTTGGCGGAGAGCCCGGGACGCCCCCGCGCGCTCCCTGGTCCGGGCTCCCTCCTCCCCCCGCCCTCTCCCCCGGCCGCGCCGCGCGCGCGCGCATTCAAGGAGGTGGGGGGGGGGGCGCGGCCCTCACGCTGCGGCGGGAGCTGCGCAGCACGACTGGCGCGGAAGGTGCACGCGGGCCGGGTGTCGTCGCCAGCGTCTCCGAGGTGGGCAGCCCCGCCGGCTCGCTCCCGGCTCCCGGAGCAGCTCCCCGACGCGCCCTCAGGCCTAGGCCCGGCACACACCAAGGCTCCGCCCCCGCCGCGGCTTTGCCGCAGCCACAGCCCGCGGGGCGTCGCGCGCAGCCGAGAGGGGCAAACCCGCGGCCCCTCGCGAGCTGCCCCGGGGCGGGCTCAAGGCCCTCACCTCCGCCGCGGACGGCTGCTTACGTCAGGGAGGCGAAACCCTGAAGGAGAGGAGGAAAAAGAAAAAGGCACGAGGGCGGAAGGGGAAAAACTTTTATTTATTTTTTTCTCTTTTTTTTCTCGTCAGACGCTGAAGGAAGGGAAGGAGCCCGCGCCGGCGCGGGGAGAGCCGGGCGCGACCCCAGCAGGCCGCGCGGCGCGCCGGAGCCCCGGCTCCCCGCGGAGGCTCGACGGGGCGCCCAGCATGTGGGACCCGCAGGAGTTTGAGCGCCACTGGAAAGCCGAGTTCCCAGGGCAGGAGGCACCGGTCATGACGCTGGAGTCGGTGCTGGACATGGAGCGGGAGCTGGAGCGCTGCAAACTCAACCTGAAGCAGTTGCAACAGGTGTTGGCGGAAGAGAAGTTCAAAGTCTCCTACCTGCAGGCGGCCCTGGCTGGGGAAAAGCTGGACCCAACCGGCGGCCGCCTAACGGGCGGAGACGGCGACTGCCGGGGCGCCGGGGCCCAGGAGCCGGAGCCCGCGGGGCGGGAGCGGGAGCCGTGCAAGGAGGAGAGCGCAGCGGGGCGCGGCGGGGACCCCGATAAGGGTCGGGATCAAGAGGTGTCGGCCAAGGCCGAGCCTCCCTCCAACGTGTGCCTGGACCTTCCCACGTGGCCCCCGGTGGCGGAGGGAGGGGGCGCGGTGCGCAGCCTGACCGCCGCCATCCACCAGCAACTGGTGCAGCCTCGCCTCCTGTTCAGGCCGCGAGACGACTGTGTGCTCCCCGACCACGATGGTACGGTTGCCAACGCACCCGGAGAGGAGAGGTCCTCGGGGACCCGGGCGGGGCGGGGCTCGGAGGACAGCGAGCCGGACGCGTCGGGCGCTGACGATGGAGGAGACAGCAGTGACCACGACTTCGAGATGGTGGATTTGAATGAGAAATTTGTCCTCGGTCACTTGCTCGTGGCCCCCTATCGGTTTGGAACCCGCGATGAGGCCGAGAAGCCGGCGAGGGCTTCCAGCCCTCATCGCTGGTTGCATCTGATCCCCGGGGGACGGAGGCAGCAGCGCCGGAGAGATCTGGAGGTGGAGGCCAAGGACAGTCGGGCTTCCCTTCTGGTGGAAGATGAGGCCCCCAAACGCGGGGCCCGCGAGCACCTCACCCATTGGGGGCGCAAGAGGTTCCTGCGGGTGCCGGAGCGGGACTCGCCCAGTCACAGCTCTCCGGAGAGAGGCAGCGATTGCAGCCACAACAGCTCAGACCACGAGGAAGGCTTCTCTGCAGGTAGGCACACCCCTCTCTAGATCTCTTACCCCCCACCCCCGCACATCATCCCTCCCCTCCAGACCTTGAGGGTCCTCTGGTTTAACCTTGGGCACCTGGGAATAAAGTGGAGGCCGGGGAATAAATTTTATCTCTTTATTTTAAAGCCACTTGTGGAACTTAAAAACAAGCTATAGTGCAAAATGAATTTGGGGGTGGGGCGAGTTTATAAACAGAATGGTCATGGCAGGGGTCAGACCCAGAAAAGGACTCTTTTCCTTCAAGCCTCAGCCTTCTTTCTCCATCGGGACATTACCGCCACCGTCCCCACTTCCAGGCCACCTTTCACAGGTCCCCCCATTCCTTCGCAGCACCCTTATGATATCCCTCTGCACAAACTCCAGTGCTTCCCCACCCTCACCGCCCCATCCCCTGGTTTTTTGGTGTGAAAGCACACATCTCACATCTTCTCTGGCTTTCATGTTAAGCTGGGGTCAGATTCACTCCAAGAAGGGTGCATGACACCACCCCTTTTGTTGACTTCCCCTTCCTGAAAGGGTGCCCTGTCTCTGTCAGCTTCCTAGGAGCCTGAGAGCCTGAGAGGAGTGGGAAGGCTTAGAGTCATTTGTCAGCTGGCTTGGTGCCCAGCAGGCCTGTCTTCAGCCAGTGCCATCGTTTGATAAAGGAGGAATCTGAAGCCTGGGGAAATTAACTGGTTGAGCAAATGACCTGAGACCTTCATGAGGGCCTCTGTCCCATTGCCTCCCCTTGTGTCTGCTTTCCTCTCTGAGGACAGGGCCTACGCTTAATCAAAGGTGTTTGAATCTCCTTGCAGTGGTCTGCCCAGTGCTCAGTAAATATTGTCTGAATAAGTGCATGTGTGTATTGGACTGATTGGCTACCAGGCTTTTCATGGGTCAGAGAGTGAAAATGGAGTAAGGAGGAAAGGTTAGATGGGGTTGTGGGGTGGGAAAGGATGCATGCTAGGGACACTCAGCATCCTCTCAGCCATGAGGAAAACATACATTGGTGTCAAGTTGGGTTGAGCTCCACCAGGAACTTAAGATGCCTTCTCACTCAGGGAAGGATTAAAAAAAAAAAAAAATAGAGACTTCACAGATGCTGGGATTGTTCCAAAATCTCCATTATTAGATCTTATCTGGGCAAGTTTGCATTTGAATGAAAAACTGTCCACTATGCTAAAAGCACATTTGGAAAGTCCATCAAGTCATCTGTTTTGTTCAATTATACTTATTCATTAGCCAAGATTGGCTGCTTTTCCCATAGGTAATGCTTTTGCCACCCTTGCTAGTAACATTTTTTTTATGTCCCTCTTTAACTTAAAGCAAGCATCTGAAGACTTCATTCTAGCACCAAATTCCAAATGCTCTCAATGGAGGCTACCCAAGTGGCCCCCACTTGCTTCAGAGCTGGCTCCTATCCCATTTCCCTAGACACCCACATCAATCACTCTGTCAGGTGTTCTCAACACATTGTATTTTTCTCCCATGAGTGATTCTTAATTCTATGAGTGGTCTCCTCTCTAGCACTTGATGCAAATTAGAAAGCCGTATGGACTCTTGGCTAACAAATTGCTGAAGATTCCATTCTGGGTAGACCAATGACAGAAGATTCTTCTTCCTCTAGAGTAAAGACTCCAGCCAGTGCACATGCATGGCACTTGTGGCTTTGGATGATTATACCAGGGCTGAATTTCAAACCCCATTCTGCGCCCCCTCTTCAGGACAAGTTTTGAGTAAGAGCTATGCACAGGGACACATCAAGGCCCCCACCTCCTCCTTTGGAAACCTCCTCCTTGAGGAAGTGAATGGATGCACATGTGCATGCACATGTGCACACATACATGCATACTCATACACATGTCTAGAAGAAGGAACCTTCAAATGTATAAGGAGGCAATAGAGTGAAGGACAGAGGGATTACACTGTGTGTGGCAGCTCACTGGAGTCTGTGCTATAAGGAAAGCATTATGAGGCCTTTGTTGGCCACCCTTGCTTGGTATTTCCTGCATCATTTTCCTCCATAGCACTCATTCAGTTATGTGCCTCATACCAGTTATCCTACCTACTCAGAGGCTGAGATCAGAGAATTGTGATTTGGAGTCAGACAGGGCAGAGAAGTCCAAGAGACTCATATTTTCAATTAATAAGCAAAAAGCCAGAAGTGGAGGTATGGTCCAAGATATAGAGCAGCACCATCTATAAGCAAGAAAGCCAAGCAAGAGTATGAGGCCCTGAATTCAAGCCCTAGTACTGGGGAGGGAGGAAGGGTGAGGGCAAGTTTCAAGGGCCTAGTGTGGTGGCTTACACCTATAATCCCAGCTACTATGGAGGTGGAGATCAGAAGAACAGTGATACCAGGCCAGGCCAGGCAAAAAGTTAACAAAACCCCATCTTAACCAAGTTGAATGTAATGTTCATGCATGTCAGCCAGCTATGTGGGAGGTGTAAACAGGAGGATTGAGGTCCAGGCTGGGCCCTACTTGAAAAATAAAGAAAAAAAAAACACACAAGAAAACTCCAAAACCCCAAGATGACAACAACAACAACAACAAACAAGAAAAAAAAAAGGAAGAGTTCAAAGCTAGCCTGGACTACATAATGAGTTGCAGTCTAAAAAGTACACAATCAACCCATACACTGTAAATCACAATTTTGTGTGTCCTTGGAAATAACTTGTTTGACTTTTCTATAGCTTATTTTCCACATCTGTAAAATGGGCTGATAAACACAACCCATACTGTAGATATGGGCTTTTATACAGGTTCTGGCACACAGGAAGCAGCTGAAAGAGTTAACTTACCATGGCTATAGGCTGTTTTTCTTGGTATCACCTCTCAAAAGTTTCTTGCTTCCAGGCTATTCTGAATCAGAGGCAGTTTGGATATCTATAACAAATTTGTTGTTGTTCAGCTTAATTGTCTCTTTCTAGAAACTTCTAGGCAACGGGCAGGACCTAGTGCAGAGTGGGAATTTGGTTCATGAAACTCTTTTAATTTGGACCTGGGGGCTAGGAAGATGGCTCAGTGGTGGAGTATTTGCCTTGCATGCATGTGGCCCCTAGTTTGATTCCTTAGCACCACATAAGCAGAAAAAAAAAAAAGCCAGAAGTAGAACTGTGGCTCAAGTGGTAGAGTGCTAACCTTAAGCTGAAGAGCTGAGGGACAATGCCCAGGCCTAGAGTTCAGGCCCCAGGACAGAGCCAAAAAAAAAAAAAAAAAAAGTTGAACGTGGTCCATATGCTTTCCCTCTCGCCACCAGTGATCATACCCTGTATCTGTATCTGCAGAACTTGACTGAAGGGCAGGTTTTATGGAGGTACTGGGGTTTTAACTTAGGGTTTCTAGCTTGGTAGGCTGGTTCTCCATTACTTGAGCTATGCCCTCCAGCCTTGTTGCTTGCTGATTATTTTTGAGATATGTACTGGCTTCCTGCCTGAGTGATTGCCTGGCTGTGATCTCCCTACTTTTTAGAATTCCCTTGTAGCTAGGATTATAGATATGCACCAGCTTATCCCAGCTTCCTTCTGTGGAGTCTTGTAAACTTTTTGTCTAGGGCTGCCCTGGAAACTTCGATCCTCTCAATGTCAGCCTCCTACATGGCTCAGCCTGATAGGCATACATCACTGTACCTAACTGTGGGTTGAGAAGGGGGTCTTGAGAATTTTTCTCCCTAGGCTGGCCTTGAACCATGATCTTCCCAATTGCAACCTCCCAAGTAGCTAGGATTATATGAACCACAGATGCTCTACTGAAGGGCAGATTCTACTGGGTAATAATTGGCTTTGCATCCTTCTCTGTGTTTCCATGAAAAAGTCCTTTGAAGTCTCATATAAGAAGGCAAAGGTGTCTTCTTGGAGAAGAACTATTTTCTCTCAAATCTCTAAACCAAGACACCTTTGGAATTTCTTTCTACACATGATAGCAAAATCAAAGTTTAAATAAATTAGAATGCTAGTTCACTGAGCCTACTCTTTAAGCATCTTTTGGGCCTGGTTAGGATTGGGGCATGACAGTGGTGGTGTGAATGGGAGACAGTGGCTGAGCCAGAATGGCCATGCTGAGTCTTGTGTACTGTGAAGTCAGACTTGTGTCTGTGTCCTGGTGGACAAGCCCTCAGCTTTTACATGTCTCCATCTCTGACTCTCAAGCAGTAATAACAGGAATAGGAAATCCCTACTGAGAGCTTGTGTTTGCCAGCTTCTGCTTGAGCACCTCCCTATTCATTTGTGTCATACAACAGCTTCGTGAGGGGCTGGGAAGGTGGCTCAGTGGTAGAGCGCTTGCCTTGCATGCCAGAGGCCCTGGGTTCGATTCCTCAGCACCACATAAGCAAAAAGAAAAAAGCCGGAAGTGGCGCTGTGGCTCAAGTGGTAGAGCGCTAGCCTTGAGCTGAAGAGCTGAGGGACAGTGCCCAGGCCCAGAGTTCAGGCCCCACGACCAGACCCCAAAAAACAGCAACAACAGCTTCATGAGATAATACTACTATTATTTCCATTTTATACATGAGACTCCTGAGGTCTGCAGAGCTTAAGTGACCTGTCCCAAAGTCATCCAGCGCTTAAGTGACCTGTCCCAAAGTCATCCAGCACTTTTTTTTTTTTTTTGGGTCCGGTCATGGGGCCTGAACTCTGGGTCTGGGCACTGTCCCTCAGCTCTTCAGCTCAAGGCTAGCGCTCTACCACTTGAGCCACAGCGCCACTTCTGGCTTTTTTCTTTTTTTGCTTATGTGGTGCTGAGGAATCAAACCCAGGGCCTCAGGCATGCAAGGCGAGCACTCTACCACTGAGCCACCTTTCCAGCCCCAATGAGCACATTTCTTATCAAGCATTGTAGCCTCCTCCTTTGTTTCCCCTTCCCATCCCTTCCCATCCTTCCCATCCTCCCCACCCTCCCGCCACCAAAGTTGTAAAGTACATTTTCCGACATAACGACATCTCATTGTTGAAATGGGTCCTCCTGTATCCCTGTTTTAACGATTTGTTTTTTCCCTTCCCCTCCA